ACCGCGACCCGCTCGCACCCTGTCCGCGACCCACGCGATACGACCAGACCCGAGACGTGTCCTAACCCGATTCGACCCGAGTCCTTGCAACCCAAATTCGATCCAACCGGCCCGAGCCCGACGAGCCCGATCTGGTGATCCGTTCGTAATTCAACACTCGACTAGAGTCGACAAAGGCCAAACCCTTCCACCGACTGGGTTGTGGAATCAGACGATCTCCATCAAAGGAAATCAGCAACGTCTCTGAGTCGGCAAAAAATTTAAACGGTAGTCCTAACCCTAACTATAGATTCCGCTGCGTTAGGGTTTATTTTTTCAAAATTGAAACGTGCATGTTGTTGTCGTTCCTAATAGAACCCAACAAAGGGTGTGGATGTAAACAATGTTTGCAATATTGCGGTGAGGATAAGGAAAGCATTGAGAACTTACAACTGCAAAAGGGCCAATTAGGTATGGAAAATTTTTCCTTTAGACTGGGAGAATCTTTAGCTGGCTGCAAGTAGTTTTAGAGATCGGTGGTGCTGGGTCTCATCTCTTCACTCGCAAATTTCTGAAGTGCGCATCAACTCTCTACTTACATATTATGGTGACTTTGGAAAACACGAAATCTGTGAGATTTTCAAAATGTTTGGCAGCCAGAACGAGCTATTATGCAGTTAGCTTTGCAAGATTGGATGAAGTTTGCTAATTGGGGGAAGAAAACAAACTCGTTGAAGGAAGTTTGTTGACTAGGTTCTTATGTTCAAACCTCAAGTGCTTGTTTTTTTNCGTTCTAAAAAAATACATCATTTATATAGGAATTATTGGATATAATGTAATGAGGTATAAGTAAGAGAAGAAATAAATAAGTATTTTTGAAGGATTACTTTGGTAACTAATGGCAGATGACAATCAGAAAAACTTGAGAAACAGTATAGACATTTCGATACGAGTGTATAGTTTCCAAGTTCATACTACTTGTTTATTTATTTCCTATGGACCACAAAGATCTAAAGTAAAACTATATGAATATGGTAACTGTTTTAGTTTTCACAATAAATTGATTATTTGCCACATGTTGTCTGCTGAACCATGATTGGGAAATTATGTTATTGAGCACGGGAATAAGGAAAATGTAATGAAATAGCACTGTCGGAAGTAAGAACCATAGTCAGGATAATTGAATAAAATAAAAATGTACATGCACATGAGACTTATCATAAACTACATAATGAAATTCCACTATGTTTGAAAAATACAAGAATGCGCCATAATATTTTGCAAAAAAACCCTAAGTTTGTGCTTTACCTTACAAGCCCTCCCTCTTTTGTGTCCAAAAGGATACATTTTGTACTTTTGGACGACAAAATGAACCTTTTGGATCTTAACAAACCTCAGGATAGTTTTGTAATTCAGTCTGAATAATCTTAGCAAACCATTTACATAAATTATACCTCCATTGGTATGCAGTAATACTTTTAGAAATGAGGGAAAACAATGCCGATGCGAAATCCTTCTCGCGGACAAGGGTCGTGAATCTAAAGAATGAAGAATATTATTCGAGCATAATCAGGGATAAATTTAATTTGTAAAACTAACCATGATATGGGGCTGGCTGGCTTCTGCAGTGCATCAAACCATGAATTCATGATAAACAGCAGATGCCAGCCAAAACTAGTGATCGCTAGAACCTGACAGAAAACCTTATGTATTAACTTATCAGAGGCTTTGCCTTGCGTATATGACCCATACTATTCACAAGATCCTTTCGTGTGCAGACGGGAAACATATTGATGCGTGTTAACCCTTTGAGCCGCCAAAGAACATATGGAAAACTTAGTTGATCGCGGGAAGTGAAACGGACCACCTCATTAAACCAAAGGCACATGAACAAGTTCGTCAATGGATTGTGCTTCCTCACGATTATAGAAGCCTCGGCTAGAGCTGCAAGGAGAAAATTGGAAACTTTATTTGTTTTGTACTTATGCAATGAAAAATGATCTTTAAGATTAATTAAAAGGGTAAGACGAAGAAATGGTGGTGATGTGTGTGTGTGTGTGTGTGTGTGTGTGTACATGAAGTAAGACATGGTTAGAGGTTACAAGTGCACCCTTGAGATTTGTTTTTTAGAACTATATCCTCAATAAAGATATTTGTTAAGAAAAATACAAACCTTAGGGTGTGATTGGATATAGAAATTTTCAATCCATACGCAATACCACTCAAAATCTAACTCAAACTTTTACCCAACCCCACTATTTTCAATATTATAAATATAATTAAATAATATCACCGAATTGTTCTTACACATCACATCAACTTTAATACACTATTAATCCACTCACAAAATTTTAACTATCATCACTTCACGTCATCTCTCTCCTACTTTTACATCAAATCAACTTTATTATTTTATTTGAATAATATTTTAATATAACTCAAAAGCCCACTAAAAACTAATCATACCACATTTTTCCAAATTAACTCTGTTTAACCAAAAAAATTCATTCTGAGTGGAAATTTTTATATCCAAGCACGCCCTTAATATGTTCAGAGTACGACCTTAAGACCACGATTGTCTGGACACAAAATATTGTTGACATAGAAAATTGAGTTCTTGGCTCTTAGTACTTCTTATCCTCACATTGTTTTTTTTTTTTTTTTTTTTTTTTTTTTTTTTTTGGTTTAATTTCATTTTTATATGTAAATTCATTACCAAGAATTTTAATTTCCGTATATGTCGGCTATGGTTACAGAATATGAGAACACCATAGAAACATAAGCATACCTTTTTTCCCGTTAAACCTTCTATCCTCTGGAAGGCCATCCAGGCGATACTGTGTCAACTGAACCTCAACTTCCCCTGGAGTGGCCTTATTTTTCTTTACGACAGCTTTGGCCTCGTCGTACACACTACTGCGGGCCCCGTGTTCTGAGATTGCAAGTTCATGATTAGAACGCCAAAGTAAGGCCTCCAGCACACCCAGAGGGTCCCTCCTAAACTGAGACTTGGAGTCTACCCAAATGGAATATCTGGAATTCGGAAAAAGACGATGGGGAAGCATCTGAAATAAACACATTATAAATCACAAAGGTGTAGAAGCATAAAATTCCGCGAACCGATTAAATTGCTAATGCAAGCACATGATGCGAATCTTTCATTAATTTATGAAAATTTGAGGACATTGATTACTCAACTGGCAGGTTACATTAGCAATCAACATTTTGAAAGCAATAGACAGCATTTACATGTTTATTGTTTTTCAATGAGAGGGTTTAGTGAGGAAGGTAAGATAGTTTCATTTCCAGCACTTATGAATTAAAGCAAATGCTTCTGAACTTGGCATTTAAATTAGGTCCCCCTCATAACATTGATTACTCAACTGGCAGGTTACATTAGCAATCCACATTTTGAAAGCAATAGACAGCATTTACATGTTTATTGTTTTTTAATGAGAGGGTTTAGTGAGGAAGGTAAGATAGTTTCATTTACAGCACTTATGGATTAAAGCAAATGCTTCTGAACTTGGCATTTAAATTAGGTCCCCATCATATGGACTCTGAAAAGCAATGGTAGAATAGTGTGCACCGGTAATGGTACAATATCTCTCGAATTGCATATGTTATACAAAACAGATAGCTCCCTCAATTCATAACCTAGTAAGTTTCATTAGATGAGCATATAACTTCTTCAATATGTATAGCTGTTAAGAGCTCTTTGTAATCATGCACAATAACATAATGACTTGCCATAAACAAGAGAAATTTAAGTACCTTAGGTATTTTCCCATTCAATCTTTGGTCACTGAAGGGCAAATCCCTAACTATTATAATACGCCATCGCCCAATAAAATGGCTATCATCAACCTTATTCCCATCCGCTTCTTGTGTTGCAAGAGTAATTTCATCCCAGAACGCGACATAGCAAACCTACACAGATTACAAACAAAATCATAGTTACCACGTGACATAACTAAAAGTGAAATATTGTAAGTCACCAACAAGATATTTGCACGTGGGCTGACAACCTTTGAAAGTGATGTCTCAGACATTCCTATAGGTTGATAAAGATCATCCCCACCACCAAAGGCACAAGTCGAGACCACAACTTTGCAAGTCTCCATGTAACGTTTGTCTTCATCAGAAATTCTAAAACCTCCCCTTTCACAGTAAAAACCACAGTGGACTTCAGCTCTTTCAGTCACCTATGACATAATAACATTTGCAACATGTAATTTCCGAGAAGAGTGAGAGGTCGTTAACAGTAAAAGATGTGCCATGAAATGTTCAAAACCTCAGCATCATTTGAGTTTCTAAAGATCTACAGACACAATATTAATCTTCTTAGCACTCAATAAATGATTCTACAGGTCGAGCTCGAAATGTGTGCATACATACACACATTCGTAAGGGGAACTAGATATAACTCATCACCTTAAAACTTTTTTCTCTGTGCTCAAGAGTTTGGTTTCCTGTGAATAAATTGAATCTAGCACCTTCGACATATACGGCGGATAGGTTGAACTTCCCTGCTTTACTGGCTCTATCAGTCTCCGAGGCATACACCAAATTTTTTACAGGACTTCTGGAGTCCTCATCATTTGGAATTTCCAGATGCTCAAGTTCTTCAGGAGGTAGGAGCTTCAAACACCCTGAAATTCAGAAAAAGGGTCATAGAATAACAAACTGTCCTTGTGATATGAGCAGTAAAGAATCGGAAGCTGAAGAGCTAACTGAAATGAATTAAAATACTGATGAACCCATACATTGACCGTGCATAATGCATCATCAATTGGTTGTGTAAGAAAATTGTAGGGAAAGAGCAAAGGTAGATTGTCATTGATAAAAGCAATGAGAATTTACACAAAAAAAAAAATGGCCACTATTTGTCCTTGTGTTTGCAAAAATGTCATCTTGTATTTGATGAACCAAATCACGAACCACGACTGCTATTACGGCCAAGAGTGGCATTTTAACAAACCCAAAATTAAAAGATGGCAATTTTGGAAAATTTACTGAAATGATTGGTTCATGGTGCTTAATGAAAAGCATTTACTTTACAGAGAGAACCTTATCACATAAACCATCTCATCACAATATGAGCATACTAGTGATCACAAGTAAGTAACAAAAGGAACACAAGGAATTTTCACTGATGCTTACTGTATAGAAGGGTTCTGCTGGAAATCTACCAATGCAGATGATCAAGCAACACCACAATGCACATGCTATAAATCAATAGGATAACTTGCAACATTATGATCAACCTTAAAGCCATTGATTTACACATTTATAAGTGTCTGACAGTGAATCCACGCTAAGAACTGGACAAGAAAGCGAAGAAAAAGTATGACTCACTCTCTCTAACGCCTCCAACAACCCGCGTAGTAGGATCGAGCCTATTCAAGTTTCCCTGCTGCTTACCGCCGCTACTCCGGCCACCTGCACTTCTCGAGCTCTTATCTTGCGGCCTACTTCGCCCATCGCGGCCACCAATTTTGACAGCCTCGTAGACTAGGAGGGCGACGGCGAGGAGCAGCAGCAGAGCGGGCCACCACCTGAGGAGCTTCGTGAGTAATTTTCGTGTCAGGTCGGGCCTACCCCTCAGGAAGGGTTTCCTGCGCTTACGGCGGACCCGAGACCGCACACGAGTCACGGGTTCTTCAGATTCGTCGTCGGATACGGCAATCGAGATGCTGTTGTTCATCATAGACGACGCCCTTGACAGCCAGGTTGTCGATTAAACGGGAAATTGCAGGTGTAACGGAGTAAGTGCTTAATTTGCAGCGGAGATTTTTTCTGCTTAATCAGCTGAGAAGCTCCTGATTTGGTGGGGCATGTGAGAGGGACAATTTCGATCAGAAATCCACAAATTGAACACCAACTAAATGAGATTAGACATCAGGAGTTATATTAAGGTGTAGGATGAGATCTGGAAGATTTTTATTATCATGGTGAGTAGGGCGGCGAATGAGTTGGCTGAGCGGCGGAAGACAGAGGGGGAGTTGAGAAAGAAGAAGGAGCCGGTCACCGTTGGGGGCAGATTTGGAATAAACAAATTAACATATACATAACAAAGGGTAAATAATTTTTAGCAAAAAATTATTACTGTTGCTATTCAATATTTGCACATTTATTACGTGTAAGGGCATCCACATCCCTAAAAACAAAAAACTATTCATTCAATCAAAAAGTAACACTCTCTCATCGACATCATTTCCATATATCTTTCCACTAAATCTTTCTTTATTTAAACACACACTCACATTCCTACTCATTCATTTAAGTACATATGTGGGACCCATTATCCACTCATTCAATATAATTTTTTTTATATTCTATCCACAACAAAAATAAATTTTAATACTTTTAAATTATAACAATATATTTTATGTACCAAAAAAAAAATATATAATAATATATTTTAAATGCATGAAAATAAAAAAAGCACCACAAGACCAAAATAACATAAATTAAGATTACAGAATAAAAAAATAGTACAATTACAAAAAAAAATATTTTTTTTAGTTGTTGACAAAATGAGTCCAAATGTGCCCAACTAAATCGGCACGAAGTTGATGATGCATTGTGTTATCTCGTATCTCTGAATTTCTACGAATATAATTTTGAAATTCTCGATTTGAACCCTGGACAGGTTGTGCGGGCTCTTCATCCTCGTCATTGTGCCAATGTGTTACTACATCTCCTTCATCTTCAACAATCATATTGTGGAGAATAATGCATGCCAACATAACAAATTTCAGTTTTTTTCTATACCAAAACCGAGCAGGACCTCTTACAATTGCCCATCGAGACTGAAGCACCCCGAATGCTCTTTCCACATCCTTTCGAGCAGCTTCTTGTTTTTCTTTAAATAACTTCCTTTTAGGATCTGACGGGCAAGGAAAAGACTTTACGAACGTAGCCCATTCTGGGTATATTCCATCTGTAAGATAATACCCATTTGCATATTGTGTGCCATTGACAGTAAAATGAACGTTCGGTGCATTTACTTGCAATACATTATTAAATAAGGGAGATTCATATAATACATTGATATCGTTACGTGATCCTGCAACACCAAAAAAAGCATGTCATATCCACAAATCGTGTGAAGCAACCGCTTCAAGGACAATCGTAGGAGACCCATGCCCTCTTGCGAATTGCCCTTTCCAAGCAACTGGACAATTTTTCTATTCCCAGTGCATACAATCAAGGCTTCCAAGCATACCCTTAAAACCATGCTTTTCTTCATGCATTTGGAGGAGTCTTTGAACATCGCTACTGTTCAGTCTTCTCAAATATACATCACCAAAAATTTGAACCACACTTTCACAAAATTCAAAAAGACATTTGATAGCTGTTGACTCACCCATACGTAAATACTCATCAAGGTGGTCAGCTGGGACTCCATAAGCCAACTGACGAATAGCTGCTGTGCATTTTTGAAGTGGTGACAAACTTTGTCTTCCTATTGCATCAATGTTTTGCTGGAAATATGATGATCGTGTCTGAAGTGCATTCACAATTAGAAGAAATAATTCTTTTCGCATACAGAAACGTCTACGAAATATGTAATCCGGGTAGACTGGATTGTCAGAGAAATAATCACTTACAAGTCTGGCATGCCTATCTTCACGATTTCTCTGGATGAACCTCCTTCTTCTACGAACTTCAGTTTCATGTTGATATGCTTGAAGTAACTCGTGGCTTCGTTGAACGATTGATGAAATCATTTCAACTTCTAAATTATTAGTGTCATCACCATCTTCACTATCGGTGGATGATGATGAATTAGACTCGAATGTATATGAATTTTGAGACATTTTTTGAGGATTCTAATTGAATTTAGAGGGGTATATTCAATTAGGAATTCTAAGGACTTTTTAAGACTTTAGAAATCCTGGTGTATTCAATTTAGGTTTGTTAAGACTTTTAAAAATCTTGAGGTATTCAATTGGGATTTTAAAAAGTCTTACAAAATTCTGAGGTATTTAATTTATTTGACACTAGGATTTGTTATGACTTTTTAAGATTTGGTGGGATTTCTAAATAAAAAACCTTATACGAAATCCTAGTTGAAATCCCACCTCCAGACTTAAGATTTCATGGAATTTCTCCAAAATCTGAAAATCTTAACAAATCTCAAATCTTAAAAAGTCTTAAAGTGTGTAACTATAATTTGAAGAATGAGAAAAAATATGTGAGTTTGCTTTGAATATATAGACATCAACATATATATATATTGACCATTAAATAAATATTTATTTTAAAACAAAAAAATAAAATAAAAAATTAAGCATGCTGCATGCTTTTATAAAATAGGATTTTAAAACAAAACAAAAATAAAAAAAAATGAAAAATGATTGAACAAACATGCTTTTTATAAAATAGGATTTTAAAACAAAAAAAAAGAATGAAAAAGAATGGATTGAAAGCTAGTTGGAGTGAACGGAAAATAGAAACAAAAAAAAAATAAAAAAGGGAGCAAATGTGCAGCAGTAAAATACGGATTAAAAATAAATAAATTAAGACCAAAATAAATTTTAAATACATGAAAGTAAAAAAAACACTACAAGACCAAAATAACATAAATTAAGATTACACAAGAAAAAAATAGTACAATTACAAAAAAAAAATATTATTTTTAGTTGTTGGCAAAATGAGTCCAAATACAAAAAACAATTTAAGTGGAAAGACATACTACAAATTTAATTTCGAACAAGAACAATTTACTGAAAGACTGACTAACAATTTAACCAGAACAAGAACAACTTAAATGATATACAAGCTAAAAGTTTAATACTTCCAATCACAACATACAGAAATACAAGGATGATTAAAACAAATAATACAACATCTAAAAGTTCCATTTTTCTCGAATTGCCTGACACATTTTTTCATGAGAAATGCGTTGCTCTTCGGTCATGTGACTTGTGTCCCTCATTAAAATATCATAGTCTTTCCGACGATTTCTCTGCTTCTTCTCCTCAAGAGTAGCTTTTTTAACTTCAACTTCAGCTTTTTTCAAGCTAGTTAACTCAGCAAGATGCTTAACCATGTTGTTGTATTCTGCGGTCATCTCATCAAGGTTAGATTTGCCTTTGCCCTTGGCCTTTCGTTTGGCTGCCTTCTGCCCGATGGGGCGAGCCACTTCATGAAGTTCATCTAAGTCTATGCTTGCATCCCCCTTTGATGAAGTATTGTTGGCACCAGACTCATCAATTCTCGTCTTTTTTCTCTAAACAAAAATATCATTAGAACACTGTGGGGTGTACATAGGACTATCTTTAAGGATTCTCCATACATGCTCAAGATTGAAGGCTACACCATCATTCTCAATACGATATTTTTCGTAAGCCCGACTTAATATATCCTCATCACTACAACCACTTCGATAAACATTGTAAATACTGTTATAGCACTCATTGAATCGATACACCTTTTTTTGAATCGTATTATACCAGTGAGATCTTATTATATTAGCATTTCTGGGAATATAGTCAGTAGGTGTATTTTCGTTATAATAATTTGCAACACGTACCCAAAACGCTTCGGCCTTCTGATCACTACTGGTAATTGGATCGTCACTTATTGTCACATAAGCTTTTGCCAATTGCACATCCTCTTCCTTTATCCATTGTGGACGTTTTTTTCGGCCTTCAGTAGCAACACGTGTTTTTTTTGGGATTTCAACATTAATAGTTTCTTCACGATCCTGGAATTGTATTTCTGGAACATAAGTTTGAGTATCAGGTTCTTTCCTCATTTGGGATTCGGAAGATTGACTCGATTGTTGCGGAGAAGATTGCACCAGATTTTGACTACTCATGTATTGCCAATATTCAGACGGCGGGTTTTGAAATAGAAATTGTGGAGGATATTGTGAATATTGAATATTGGTGGAATTTGGATAATTTTTGGGATTGTTGTTGCATAAAAGGAAAATTTGACGGGAATTGTGGGAAAAATTGTGCAGGATAAGGAGTTTGTGAAAATGGTAAATTCGGTGGAGTTTGTGAATTTTGGAAGAATGGATTTTCATCTGGATTGCTAGGATTAGAACTTGAGAAATTTTGAAAATTTTGTCTGTTATTCGGATCCATTTTTTTAGGAAAATGAATAGTAGCTAAATTTTATGGTGTATGAGAAGTGAGAAATTTTTGGTACAAGAGAAGTGAGAAACTGAAGTGTATTTATAGACAAAAAATTGAGATAAAAAATGGTGCATGCTTTTAATAAAATAACATTTGAAAACAAAAAATAAAATAAAAAAATAAGCATTGTACATGCTTTTAATAAAATAACATTTTAAAACAAAAAATAAAACAAAAAAATAAGCATGGTGCATGCTTTTAATAAAATAACATTTTAAAACAAAAGGTAAAATAAAAAATAAGTATGGTGCTTGCTTTTAATAAAATAACATTTTAAAACAAAAAAAAAAATAGAAAAAGAGGCTAAACAAGCGTTCAGCCTATTGAACAAACAATTGGTCCCCACTACACAAATGAACGCCCACAACGCACAAGGCGTTCATTCAATCAGTAAATGATGGTCTTTAACGCAGCGATGTAGATGCCCTAATGTAATAGGGAGTACACGGTTCATTTCTAAAAAATTCACATTTGGGCTCTACGGAATCAAGTATCAACTCTAGATGGAAATGATGGAAAGTGTTGTGGAAGCTTCGGGCATGCTTGTTTATGAAATAATTCATTTCACACTCAAAATCTAACTCAATTTTAACTCAATTCACTATCATTTATATTATTTATATAATTAAATATTATAAACCAATCATTCTTACATATCACATCAACTTTAATTCACTATTCATACACTCACATAATTTTAACTACCAATCATTTTCAATCATTTATATCTTACTTTTACATCAAATCATTAATAATTATTTTATTTTGTATATTATTTTAATATATTATTAAAATCCCACTAACAATTAACCATACTACCTTTTTCAAAATTAACTCTAATTAACTAAAATAACTCATTTTGAATGAAATATTTCATAAACAAGCACGCCCTTCGTCTCTCGGTCAAATTAAAGTTATTCCTATGGAAATTGTCCCTTTTAGCGATTCATTCTAGCAAAAAGAATAGAAGACTTGGGCCTCATTTACTAGGGTGGATGGGATTTGACACAATAATCCTATCATCTTTACACATCAGCTTTTTTATCATGTTTACAAAACTTGATGCATGTTAAATATAATCCAATCCAGCATTTACTAGGCATGATAAAATTATACTTGTGTAAATAAAATGACATATCTACCCTTCTTCTCCACACTAATGTCTTGTTCTAATCGAGTTTTGACCTTTTCAGATGGCGCACCTCAAACTGGAAAGTATTGAACCCTAGCTCCTTAATACTACACAAGAAAGCTCATTTAGAAATAAGAAAGCACATAGAATATGAACCAAACCAAAAAAAAAAGACTACACCAAAGAACATGGAAAACGAAGAACAAGTAGATAAAGAAGATGAAAAACGAAGAAAACCAACGAGAAAAAATCCGATAAAAGGAACCTAACACTCAAAGGAAACGAGACAGAGCACTCCTAACCAGGGAGACTTTCCTCTAATTTCGCTGATTTCGGGCGCAACTAAAAAAAAAGATAAAGAAAAAGAAAAAAAATGGCTAAAGAAGAGACGAGAAGTCTCTGCACTTTCCTATATCGCGCATCAGACACTGAAGAAGAAAAAATGTTAGGGCTTTCTTGTGAGCTCAAAATCTCGAGAGAATCGACCTTCGCCTTCACAAATCCGAGCCAAAATTCCGAAATGGTGATGTATTGAGCAGAGAATTGGAAAATTTGGAGGCCAATTTAGCCGCTCTACCCCGGCCAGAGTGAAGAACTAGGGCTCGTGAATTACATCGAATGGCAGCAAAATCACATTTATATGGGTAAGTTTGTAATTTATTACAAAATAAGGGATGTTATAGACATTTTAAGTGGGCATTTGGGGAAAAAATGGTCATATTTTTGCTGGTATTAAAATATCAGACCATTTTGACCGGATTTAATTAACCTGCCAACTGTGCAATTCAGACTGTCGCATAAAGGTCACATGGGTTTAATCATTGTCCCAATTCCTTCTATTAAACTGGAAATTAGGTGGGTTAAGGCCCTTATCCTATCATATCCCGCCTGGTAAACGAGGCCTTGTAATCTTGGGGAGTTTGTTTCCGAGTGTCAATGCCGAGAAACTAAGTATCACCTGTTCTTTGAATGTTTTTTGGGTGAAAACCTTATGGAATCATATTGGATGGTGAGATATCTTATGCAACATTTGGAGAGGTGATTTATCTTTCTTTTCTTGTCACTTTTGTCAGGGCCCCAAGGAGACGATTTTTCGTTTCTTCGCGGTGGATTTATGGCTTATTTGGTTTGAACGAAATCATTGTCGTAATGGGCTAAAAGCTAAGAGTGCAGAACAAGTGTGGGAGTATGGGGTGTCCTGGCTAAAGAAGTTTGATATCGCTGGATCGGGCTTGCTAGCTAATGGGTTACGCCCAAGTATTGACTACTTCTCCGTCTAGAAGGGTCGGGGAAATTGTAGTAATGGTTTGACGCGGTGGTTCGTGATTCGCAGATTGGCCTCGGCGGTTGGATTCGTGATTCTTCAGGGGTTTGTTTGGTTTTTTTTTTCATCTTGTCTGTCGCGCTCCTTTTCCCCTTTCCTAGCGGAAGTTTTAGCTCTTCAGTTCGGGTTGCGCGTTGCGGTAGATTTGAGCTTAAATATCCAGCTGGTCTTATCAGACTGCATGTGAGTTGTCAGTAGTATTTCCCAACTTCACGACCTTGACCCTTTGTTCAGAGTGTTTGTTGACATTATAGCTCTTTTGTCTCTTCTCGATTGTGGTCGGTGTGAATACTTATCTAGGGATCAAAATGGATTTGCTCACAACATAGCAAAGTGGGCGGTTTTCTCGCACTCATCTTGTGTTTGGAGCGATTCCCTCTCTATTTGGTTCCCTTCTTTTTATTGATTGTTCTGAACTGATGTCCTCCTTCTGTTTTGGTTTGTTTTAAGTACAAATATATATATATATATATATATATATATATATATATATCTTTGCACATTTACGGATGTGGAAATCTAAACGACCGCAATCCAATTCAGCGTCCCTTGAAAGTCCTTGAGTTACCGAAATTACTTGCAAAACAGCGTCGGAAGTTATCTCGAGGTACAAACTCTGATGCTCAAATTAGTATTTGAAAAAGATGATGTATACAACTTATGTAAGTATATAATGTTTAGAGTTTGTAGAGTTAATACGATTATACCTCACCCCTTTCATATAGAGGTGTTACTTTGTTGTCCAATATTTGCTCGATTTGGTTGCCCAAGTGTCGGAGCTGTCCGAACTCATTGCCCTAGTCCCTAGATTTGCCAATTTGGTTAGTCACATAGTCCTATCCACGTGCTTTTCTCATCCTAATTATATTCGTAGTTATCTATTATCTTAGTGTGTTCATAACTGCCTATACAAAAATGAATTCGTTCAATTAATGAAACAATATAAGTTTTATAATTATACTTCTATTCACATTGATTTTCAAATATATGATAAAATTTTACCAAAATAGTTATTTTATGGAATCACATTGTATTTAAATCGATATTCGGAATAAAAATTTTAAAATAAAACTTAATTTAAAATGAATATAATTTAATTTATTATCAGGTACGTGCAACGTATGAGTTGTGCACTAATTTTAAATAGACGTGTTTTATGTACTTTTGAAATTTTTAAAATGTCATATGACATTTTCACTAAATTAATATATGTAAATTTTATAACATATTGCTTCCATATTTTTAATTTATAAATATTTTTTAATGAACATTTTTAATATATAAATATTAATAAGTATCTCTTACTTGTGCATTGTACGAGATTCGTACTAGTTAATAATATTAAGCAAGATAGAATTAAATTAAATTTGAGTTAAATTTTGAAATAAAATTGATCAAAAGTGATTGAATCTACCTTCTTATTATACAAGAGAACTGGAAAGTATCTGGACAGTTGACACGCGGCGCCGTGTATTGCCTCTTTTTGCCTCTTCCTTTTCCTTCCGTCTATTTTTATTTCATTTTTAACCAAAACACTTTGAGGGGTACTATTTTCATTGTAGCGTGCGTTTACTTATTCTATTTTATTTGCCTATTCTTTTAGCCGAAATGACATAGTTTTCTTCCCAAAATCATTTTCCATTCTCTTCTAAACCCTAACGCGGTTTCTCCTCTCGCCAAAAACGACAAAAAAAATCAATCGCCCCCATCTCAGCCCAATAAACCCGACGACAAGAAGGCAGAAATCGAGAGAGAGAGAGATAACCGGCGATCGGACAGAGAAAATGAGACCCGCCTTGGCTGGCCGAAGCTCTGCTGCTACCGTACAGCGTCGTTTCATGCTTCGTCGACTATAAGCGCCGCCCCTCCGTCCGATGGAGACTTGGCTGCTGCAAATCCGCTTCATTCATCATCGCTAACAAAATCAAATGGTCGAGATTCATTTTCCACTAATTTTAACCTCGATTAATGGCGTCCTTTTTCTGTGTGAATTTTTTGCTTCAGGGGTTGGGGTGGCGGTGAATGGGCCCATTGGGTCAGTCCATGGCGGTGGCGGTGAATGTCAACGCCTGGAACAGTATGGCGACGCTCTTGCCTCTCGCCGCCGCTTTCGTTGCTGATTCTGTTTTGGGTAGGTACCAGACCATTATTTCCGTCTCACTGCTCTGCGTCTTTTGGTTAGTAGTACTCAATACCTAATGGATAATACATTTGTGAGAGAAAATATTCAAAAAAGATAAATTGCTTATCAGAAAATGAGGCATTTTGTTTTTCTTTTGTAATGACAATTGGATCTTTGATTACTTCACAAGTTGTCCTTTTTTTTTTCATTTTTCCTATTTGTTGTCTTTGTGTTTGTGTTATTCAGAAGGGACACTGAGTGGGTCGGATCCAACAACTCATGCCACGGGTGTGTTGTTCCGTGGGTGTGTTTCTTGCTTCATATATGCTATGCAAATCTAATGTTTGATTCTTGGTTTAGCTTGCTGCCAAGGAGGCAAAAATCCAATTTTGGTCCGCTAATTTGTCTATTGTTCACTTTTGGTACACTATCTTTTCCCTCATAAAAAATGGTCCATTATGTTACATTTTTCATCAGTTTTAGTACGCTACTCCAGTTGGCGGCATTACAAGATGACATGGACCGGGATTGGAACTACGTGGAAGGATAAGATATTGACGTGGTAGGATAAAAACCTGATTTGGCATCTCGTAATCCCGAGCCACGGGATTAGTGTACTAAAACTTATGGAAAGTGTAACATAATGGATCATTTTTTATGAGGAGAAAGATAGTGTACCAAAAGTGGACAATGGACAAGTTAGCGAACTAAAATTGAATTTTTGCCCTGCCAAGGATGTGGAAAAAGTGATGACTTTGCAGAGTGGCTGTGCAGCACACTATATTCTGAAAGCAAATGCAATCATTCGGGTTACAATTCTTGTTGGTTGAGTGTGTTTTGGTTGTCCAAGTCGTGGATAATTCATCTTAGAATGATTGTAATATATTTCATTTATTGTGATTGAAAAAACCATAACTGCTTTAGCTGTCATGCATTACCCGTTTTGTTTCCAGCCAAGTTTTGTGTAAATAGTTTTCTGCATGACTATGATCTAAACTTAAGTATTAATATTTGGTAAGTTCATATTGCATTTGTAACTTAGCAGATATTAATATTACTATTTTGGTCCATTGACTGTTGTAATTAAGGGTATGTAAATTACTGTCCGACAGACTAGTATGTAATGTTTGGTGCACTTCTCAGTTAATATAATTGATGTGGCTTATCATAACATTTTATAGTAATTGATATGGCTTATCATAACATCTTCATGTGTTTATAGTTGATACAATAAATGTGGTTTTTCGTCAATCTTTCACTTAATTCAACAATTCTCACATGTCGCAACACTTTCATTCTGAACAATTTTAACCATTATTTACTTATTTACTTCTTGTTATATCTAACTCCTTATGTTATTCATTTAATCACTGCACAATAAACTTATATAATGCTTCCTACAATTCTCACTTAACATAACCAATAGCTTATCATGACATCTTAATGTCTTTACAATTTATATAGTAAATAAGGATTCTCAACCTACATTTTCACTTAATTCATAAATTTTCACCAATGCTGATATTTTCGTTCACTGCTATTTTCACAATAGCTCTATTTCGTTACTTTCATTCAATCAACAAATTGAATACATGTTGTGTCATATATTTATGGACCTAAAACCTACAGAATTGATCATTAAAAAAAAAATTACAAGCCATACAAAACAATAAACAAACACAACTAAATCAAACTATCATAATAGCCTGCACCTTCAATCGTAACACAAATTAACACCAAAACACACAAAAATGCCCATTGTAATGAACAGATTAAATTAAAGTTCTTACAAAACGGATATGTTCTAAATATATTACATACTTTTCACGCTACTAAACATATTAGGCACTAGCATAGTTAACTTGGTTGCATACACAAAAGTAAATTAACAAATCATAAAAGTTATAGAGTAATCCTAAAGACCAAGTGGTCCCCTTCAAATAGCACAAACGAACATGAAGACTCTTCCCTGAGCCCAGTACCGGCAAAGAACTACTCAGCATCCCCATGTTCCATTACTTTTTACCCATGACCCTAACACTGCATTTAGATGGAACAAAATACAAAAAAAAAAAAGAAAAAAAAATCTTCCACAGCCAAATATAGGCAACAAAATCACTAATTAACCAAATTTAAAAGAAAAAATAACATCATTGTCATCCCACATATCAACACAACAAAAATCAAACACACATACATATACCCTATTAAGTTATTATTCAGTTATTTATTACTTCACTAAATTATTACAATATAAACCTGATTTACCTCGAACAAATATGCCAAGATACATATATCAAGAAGCCTACAGTAAATAATGTTTTATACTAAATCCTAAAACAATTATAAACCAACTAAAAAAGTTATAACAAAATAGGCATTATAACTTTTAAGAAAAAATATTTCAACATATGGGCCGGCTGTGCGTAGGTTTCTAGTGTAATTTATATCCAAAGACCCTCTTATTCGCTGGTTGTTGGGACGTTTTCATCATGAATCAAATTATGGAGGATGCCTATGTAATTACATGATTCTTTTGGTCTGAACCGAGTCACCGACGGTCAAAGCACACCTAAATGTTGGGGCGGAAATAAAATTAAATTTAAAATAATCAGTAGTCATTGCAACTTTGTTTTCACCGTTGAAAGTTATCCGACTTGAAAAAACGAAGCCCCCAAAACGCCGATAAAGCAGAACATAACTTTCTCGCTGGAGCGCAGGTGAAAAAAAAAATGGCGAAATCGAGCGCCGACGATGCGGAGCTTCGGCGCGCGTGCGAGGCGGCGATCGAGGGTACCAAGCAGGAGATCGTAATGTCGATCAGGGTGGCCAAGAGCCGCGGAATCTGGGGCAAATCCAGCAAATTGGGGCGCGGCCACATGGCCAAGCCTCGCGTGCTCGCCATATCAAGTACGGAAAAACTCAGTTCTTTTTTTTTTTTAACCTTTTTTTCTGTGTAGATTGTCTCCCCTCTCTCTCTGTGTGTCTATGCTTTTGGGTTCGTGTGGGTATGGTCGTTACCAGTGATGATGTGAGGTCGTCTGCTTGGATACTTATCAGTATAATTCGCCATCGGATGTGATTGAACTCTTAGATTGACGCGTGTAGTGATTTATTGTTCGAATTCTGGAATTAATTATGTTAGGAATAGCTCAGTTGCGGTCTGACTTGATGAAAGTAGGTTCTTGCTCAGATTGCTCAAGTTTTGGTTAACTAGGCTTGTGTTTACCGGTGTGATGCCAATTAAATTTATATTTTTTAAAAAGTTTTAATC